AATACGTTTTGTTCATTTTGTTCTTAATTGCTTTTACATAATCATGGGTGATTTATTTTTGCTTTTTTTTTTTTTTTTTGAAAAAATATGATGCAGAAATAAGTGCAAATTGGATAAGTAATACTTAAGGATCTCTTCAGTTGTTGATTTTTTCAGTAGTATCACTGTCACTTGACTCTTAGAAGTGTTAATTGTAAGGTACTGTCACTGTCTAGAAGCGATTCATAAGTCTCTGATACTGAAGATCTTTGCATATTGGAAATAACATTGTTTTCTTAATCAGAAAAGTGATGTTTTTTCTATCTGTATTGTTCAACATGAAATTGCCTGCCTAACTGAAGAGGGAAGGAGGTTTGCACCTTTTTCTTCTTTTCTTCAGCAAGTCCTCAGAAGTAAGGAGAAGGTCTGAAAAAGCTGACAAGACCTCAAATGTGAATGTGGTGTGACTTCTTCAGCCTACTATTGGCAAATATTCCCACTTCAGACTTACAAAGATTGCAGCTGGTTCTCGTGTCTTCACTGCCTTCATTGCTTGGCATTTTCTGTCAGTGGTGAATCTTAGTTATATTTTTTGAAAGGTATATTACTGAGTTAGGAAATGCTTAGGAAATGCATGTACTAAGTGTGTGCTGTGAATACAAACACGTGGCTTTGGATTCCCTATCTGCAACCTGACTACTTGTATTTAAAACAAATGCTTCATTTTTAACCCCTTATTTCTTCCAAGTGCACCTTCAGCCAGTGTTTCCTCGTGCTTATTTTTTTCAAAGGACTGTTGATTTTTCTTGAAGTTACCACTCTCCTGTTTTCAATATGCAGTGAATTATTACTGGAAATTATTTGTAATTTTTGCTTGCTTTAATTGGTTTCTGCCTAGGTAAGGTATTAACAAATGTGTAGCCCTTTTATTCCTTTCTGATTGCACTATCCTTTCTCATGGCACCAGTTAAAAATGACGACATTTAAATTGGTGTACCATCAGAAGAAGAGGAGAAAAATGGAATTTAAGATAGAAATGAAAAATTCGTGTTCAATAAGAAATCCAAAATCTGGGATTGCCTTGGTGATTTGGGCTCTTACTGAAGGGAGTTTTTCACTGGGCTGCTTGCTGCTGATGGTGGAAAAAATGATGGAATCATTTGAATTGGAAGGGGCCTTTAAAAGTCATCCAGTCAGACTCCCTTGCGCAGAACAAGAGCACCTACAGCTCAGTCAGGTTGCTCAGAGCCACGTCCAGACTGACCTTGAATGTCTTCATGGACGGGGCATCTACCACCTCTCTGAAAACCATTGAGAGTCATTGCTATTATTTATGATCTCTAAGAAGAGTGAGAAGGTAAGGCAAAGCCCCCATCTTCTCTTCTTCTTGTTGAGTCATAGAATCATATAATCACCAAGGTTGGAAAAGATCCACAGGATCACCTAGTGCAGCCATACACTTATTACCAATAGCTCTCACTAAACCACGTCCCTCCACACAATGTTCCTTGAACACCTCCAGGAGGTGGTGAAGTCACCAACCCCTGTGCAGCCCATTCCAATGCCTGACCACTCTTTCAGGGCACTGAGAAGTAGTATTTTCTTCTTTTGGAAAGAGTACTTTCAGAGAAATAGCATTTCCTAATGTCCAGCCTGAATCTCCCCTGGTGCAGCTTGAAGCCATTCCCTCCAGTCCTATCACCAGTTACATGAGAGAAGAGGCTGAGCCCCAGCTCACTGCAACCTCCCTTCAGGTAGTTACAGAGAGCAGTGAGGTCTCCCCTGAGCCTCCTCTTCTCCAGACTGAACATTCCCAGCTCCTTCAGCCGCTCCTCATAAGGCCTGTGCTCCATTCCCCTCACTGGTTTCTTTGCCCTTCTCTGAACACGCTCCAGGGCCTCAATGTCTTTCTTGCAGTGAGCGACCCAAAACTGGACACAGTACTCAAGGTGCGGCCTCACCAGAGCTGAATACAGGAGGACAATCACTGCCCTGTTCCTGCTGGCAACACTGTTTCTGATGCAAGCCAGGATGCCATTGGCCTTCTTGGCCACCTGGGCACATTGCTGGCTCGTGTTCAGCCAAGCATCAATCAATATTCTCAGGTATTCCAGCCACTCTGCCCCAGGCATTGCCTGGGGTTGTTGTGGCCAAAGTGGAGGACCTGGCATTTGGCCTCATTCCACTGGCTTTAGCCCAGCCATCCAGCCTGTCCAGATCTCTCTGTAGTGCCTCACTACCCCTAGGCAGATCGACGCTTCCACCCAACTTGGTGTCATCTGCAAACTTACTGAGGGTGCACTCAGTGCCCTTTTCATCAGGTCATCAATAAAGATATTGTAGAGGACAGGCCCCACTCCTTACCGGTAGACAAATTGCATGGAAGATTTTTCACAACTGCCTGGAGAAAGTAGAGGATTTCTGTAAATGTGCACAATACTTAAAAATTCTTACACTGGGGGGAGGCAAGGGTGCTTTCAAGCACAGTGGGTAGGCTGGAGAAAGCTGCCAGCTCACTTAATGCTCTTATAAAGAGAAACTGAGTGTGCAGAATATGTATCACAGAACGGCCTGGGTTGGAAGGGATCTTAAGGATCATGAATCTCCAACCCCCCACCACATACAGGGCCACCAACCTCCCCATTTAACACTAGACCAGGCTGTCCAGGGCCGTATCCAATGTGGCCTTGAACACCTCCAGGGACACAACCTCTCTGGGCAGCCTGTTCCAGCACCTCACCACTCTCATATGTGCATACTGGATTTTCTTTGACAGCCCTAGATTAACTGGGCTTGAGAATATTCTTAGCGCAGATGCATACAGCAAAGAAAAAAACACATACTGGTGCATACAGCAAAGGCAGGAGGCTGTGAGCCGTAGGCTCCCTCTGGTGACTGCCGAGCACTCCTGTCTTCTGCATGGTTTTGAGAGTCTATATTCATAATGTAGAACTAAATTATGACTGTTTTTAAAATTTGTATAGGAATACAATACTTCTGCCTTCTCAAAGTGCTAGAGGTCTTCTGTAATCGGATTTCAGAGAACAAGAAGAGTTGAAATAATGTGAAATGGAGTTATTTTTTAGTTATTGTGGGTATAAAGAAGTGTTTCCCGTGGAACAGCTTTGATACCTGTGGGTGGGTGCTGCTGCTGACCTCAAAGAGGATGTGGGCAGGTGCCGTGATCGCATCTCCAGAGGTGGTGAGGCTGAGCTGTCTTGTGAAGGATGGAAGTAGTTAAATCAGGTTTAATTAATTAATTACAGGTGCTTTATTAACTGAAAAACGTTTCTCTGAAGTTAAATACCGCCGTCTTTATGCCTGGGTCTTTGTGCTGTTGTTTCAAGAGCAGCTGTACAAGTCAGCAGGGCAGCTCACGTACAGTGCTGGGATGGCCAGGGACGACATTCACATGGGCAGTTCAGAAGCCCAGCTGAGGTACAGCAACATACTGTATCACCTTGACCAGGCTTTATGCAAGACCTTCGTCTTCACATGTGTGCATGCTCCTTTCTTGAAGGCTGCAGCTCACACTGCCTTGTGTTACTTCCCCATGTGTGCATTTTTTGTCGTGCACTTGTCAGATAAATCCCAAATAGCAGGCGCTGGGGAATATTAATGGCAAAAGGGAATCATAGGATCATAGAATGGGTTGAAGAGGACCTCAATGATCATCTAGTTTCAACCCCCTGCTATGTGCAGGGTCACCAACCACCAGACCAGGCTGCCCAGAGCCACATCCAGCCTGGCCTTGAATGCCTCCAGGGATGGGGCATCCACAGCCTCCTTGGGCAACCTGTTCCAGTGCATCACCACCCTCTGAGTGAAAAACTTCCTCCTAATATCTAACCTAAACCTCCTGTCTCAGCTTAAGACCATTCCCCCTTGTCCTATCACTATCCACCCTTGTAAATAGCCGTTCCCCCTCCTGTTTATAAGCTCCCTTCAAGTACTGGAAGGCCACAATGAGGTCTCCCCGGAGCCTTCTCTTGTCCCAGCTAAACAAGCCCAGTTCCCTCAGCCTTTCCTCACAGGAGAGATGCTCCAGCCCTCTGATCATCTTAGTGGCCTCCTCTGGACCCGCTCCAAGAGCTTTGTGTCTTTCTTGTGCTGGGGCCCTAGGCCTGGATGCAGTGCTGCAGACGGGGCCTCACAAGAGCTGAGTAGAGAGGGACAATCACTCCACCTCTCTGCTGGCCACTCCTCTTTTAATGCAGCCCGAGGAAGAACAGCACGGGCTTGTGAATGGCTGGTGTTCTGTGGGTTGCTCTGCCTTTGGGCTGTTGCGGCCCTCCATGCAATAAGCTGTCTGTGTGAGCTGTGCTCCCCAGACCACGGCCCACCTTGTGATGATCCAGGTGGCTGTTCAGTTTCATGCTCTATTTGGAGGTGACTCAGTTTGGGAAACAACATGGAGCTGGCTTCCGTGTGGTGAGAGGCAGGAGGCACTGAGCAGCCAAGTGCCCCATATGTCATGCGGAGCGGTGGTGCCACCATCCCAAACATGTACCCCTCTCTGCAATCTGGGCCTCATGGCATCTTTAGAGTGTCAACTTTAACGTTAAACACTAGAGGGTGGTATGTTACTGCTAATACGCTATTTTATAACAGCCATAGGCAAGAATTATTTATCCCCTGAATTTACGGTATGAGCATATCTTTTAAAACAAATGTAGACCTAGAGCAAAAATAGTGTTTTGTGACTGTGAACTTGTTTGGCAACCTTAGTGGTGCACAGTGCTATTTTGGTTTGGGGGCAAAATAAGGGGTGGCTTTCTTTCCTAATGAAGCATCATTAGGAAGATAATAAATAGAATTACTCACTCTCTGCCTGATGTCTTGATAGCCACACTTACATGCACACAATGTGAATACAGTGGAACAGAAGAAGCAGTTTTACCAAGGTTTTGATACTTAACAAGGCAGATACTTTAAAGTTTGTGCTATTGCTCATGCATCTACAGTTTGGTTGTAGTGTAACTGGTTTTTAGTATGAGTAAAGTTGTTTTTTTCTCTTTCAGGCACCACCTTCCATGGTCAATAATGAACAACGCCAACATGCCGAGCACATATTCTTATCATTTAGAAAATCAAAATCACCATTTGCTGTTTGCAAACACATCTTGGGTAAGTTTTAACAAATTGAGCAGTTTTTGTAACTAGAACTATGTTCTGTAGCTGGGAATACTGACATCAGGTTTGATTTTGATGAAGGATATTTCTTGTTTGCATGGGTTCTTTTTTGTTTTTGTTTTCCCAAATTTCACACTTCATCTACTTGTTTCAGTACAGTAGTCATAGCATTTCAGGGCGAGCACGTGAACAGAGACCTGTTTCAGGTTCAGCTTGTCAATGTCTGTACCCAAATATGGCAGAAGAATAGGAGGCAGCAGTTAGAAGTTGCAAGGAGGCAAGGCTGCTTCTTTTCATATTAGGTTTGGTGCAAAGTCTGCTTGAAACTACGGCTTAAATGCCTGCAGAGCTGCCAGGACTGCTTTAAATAGAGTCTTGTGATGGGGAGGATGAAGCCCCTTGCTGCCATTGGTTTTGTTTCTGGTGCCTTTGTGGTTGGTGAGGTGCAGCTTCATTCGGCGAAGTTCCTGAACTGATAAGTTTAACAGATTAAACTTGTCTCTATTATATCTTGTATTGTAATGCTAGATAATGCGTGGAATTTGCAGAACTGCCTGTACTGTGGTTGCTTGATGCTTCCCATTGTATCAAGCAGTGACACAGTTTGTGTCCTTCTGCCAGATTTTGTACTGGTGTTGTACATAACAATAAACTATTTTGGATTGCACATGTCAGTTGCTGTTAACAGCACAACTATTTTTAAAAAAATGGTTAAAGAAAAGTTTCTGTCTGCCTGATAGAGGCAATAGAGTACTGGTAAAAAAATTTTGTGGGATTATATGCACAGAGACTGGAAAGAAGTATGTAGGTGTCACTCTTAATAAAAAAAAAATCATAGGTTTCTATGGAAATGGTGCAAATTTGGATATGTTTCAAGTATTTAAAAATAAATCTATTCTTACAGGCCCTATAGAGAATTATTATTTAGTTTGGCAGCTAAATAATTCAAAAAATCCGGGTGCAGTGAGCATGTATTCCTGCTTAGCGCTGCAGCACTGGTCAGATTTATGGTGCTGGGGGGAGTGGAGGGAAGTTTCAGGGAAAGCTGGATCTGAGACCTGGTGATGAAAGCTGATATGTGTGGAAATGCACACACAAAAAAATTAAAAAATTAAAAAATTTAAAAATAAATAAATAAATAAAAAATTAAATAAATAAAAATTAAAAAACCATGCCTAAAAATCAGAAAGCAACTTCCCATTTCAAATAATTTGCTGTCATAAACAGAAATGTTGAAGTCTGAAAAGATTATTTTTCTACTTCATTCTGTGATGTTCTTAACAGTTGCTTTCAATTTTACTGCATTAGAGAAGTATGATTCATGAATATTGTAGTGTTACTAATGCAGTCCATCTACTCTGCTGTCAAATTATTCTGTCATACATAGAGCAGGGTGTGGTTCCTTTCCTATGCCCTCCTCCAAACCAAACATTTTTCTACAAATACGTTTCTTAAGGTTTTTGTGCATTACAGTAGGACTTTGTCTGGTCCTGAAGGCTGTAACCACGCTTGTGCCTCGAGTCAGAAGAGTTTGGGTTTTTTTCTTCCTTACATTGATTTTAAATAATTTTACAAAGGCAGCGGAACATGTGTAAATAACTTTGTTTGAAGAACATTTCAGTGGCTATTAAGAGATGTACTTGTAACTAATCAGAAGTAATGGAAATTTATGGAATACATGTGCCAATATTATGTGTGCTAAGGGATATATTGCTGCATCTTGTCCTCAGAGAAGTACCATGTAGCATTAATAATGAAAAATGTCTGCAGTGATAGTTATTTTTCTTAGTTGTTCTTCTGAAATATAAATGATTGAAGGGAATGTGCTCTTGTTATGAACACCTTTTGGATGCCCAGAAACATTACACCTTTAAACTGATCATGTGCTATCACCATTGAGAAAGCAGTGGTTTTAGGTGGGGCAGGTTTTTCCTTTCAGTTTTCTCCAGTGGGCAGCTGAGATACTGAGACCCAGAACTGAAGAACTTTCCCCCAGACTTTTTGCTTTTTGAGTAAGTGTTCATACAGTGCAGACAGAAAGAATTGCTGATTGAAGGGGTCTGAGCAGGTAAGGATGAGTAGGAACCAGAGGTGCTGGCTTTAAAAAAGAAACAGGAAGGAGTGGTCAAGGCAGGAATTGGAATGGAAGTGGAGAGTGATAAGGATGTTGATGGCATTCATGGAAAGAAGAGTGTACGAGCCCTGCAGGGAAAGCGACAGAGATGGATAGCGTAAGGGAAAGGAGAACAGCCACCGCCATACAGTTTATTTAGAAACCTGTAGTTGAACCCAGGAAGCAGGAGGCTCTACGTTCTTCTGGTGTAAGCTTATAGCTGTTAAATGTATTGGCAAAGCACGTCCTGTCTTTCTTTAGTAACTTCATGTAGAGAATAACAGTGCACTGACTGGTTATAAGTTTACACGGTGCTGGAGGTCTGTGCTGTTAATGATTGCAGTTGTGCATCTGGGGTACTTGACGCAAAGGAGAAATTCCATCTTCTTCTGTTGTTTTTTTCTTTTACAAGAGTTTTCTTTCTGTATGTGCTTTGGGCAGTTTGAGAAACCAAAGATGCAGAAGTTAACAACAACAAAAAAAGCCAAAATTAAAATTCCTGTGCAGGTTTATATTTATTTATTGTTAGACATGCACATTAATCTTTCAATTAAGTGGTTTTGTTGTTTTCCAAATTAAGCTTAGTAGATTTTAAAGGAGGTTTATTTTGATTTTAGCATGTTTAAACCATGGAGGGTTTGGGTTTGGAGCCTGATTAAATCACTTAGCATCCAATTTGCTGGAATGCTTTTATCTGGGATATAGAACTTGCATATAAAGGAATGTGTATTGTTTGCTTGTGTGTATATAATCAGTGTAAGAAAGTTTTTAAAGCCTGTCATCCCATGACTGAGGCTTTCTTCAGCAAATGCAGTTTTTTCTAGTGCTGGCTTGTTGCCCACCGTAGCTCAAACTCCATGTTTAGTTCTGGAATTTTAATTTGTTTTTTATTTTATGTTTTTGCCACCCCATAACTACATTTTTTCTGAATGCTCTTTGTATGTTTTCTGTAGACTCAGAATGTTTTGAACTGGCAACTGAGATCATAGGGTCATAGAATGGCTTGGGTTGGAAGGGACTTCAAGGATCATCAAGTTCTAACCCCTTGCCGCAGGCAGGTTGCCAACCACTAGGTCAAGTACTAGATCAGATTGCTTAGGGCCCCATCCAACCTGACCTTAAACACCTCCAGGGATGGGGCATCCTCAACCTTTCCAGGCAGCCTTTCCGTGGTAAACTTTCTCAATACCTACTCTAAATTTCCCTTCCTTTTAAAACCGTTTTCCCTTTTCCTATCACTATCTACTCATGTAAAAAGTTTATTTCCCTCATGTTTATAATCTTTCTGTAAATTTTGGAAGTCTGCAATGAAGTGCCCCCACAGCCTTTTCTTCTCCAGGCTGAACAAGCCCAACTCCTTCAGCCTGTCTTCATAGGAGATGTGCTCTAGCGCTCCGATCGTCTTTGTGGTCCTTCTCTGGACCCTTTCCAAAAGCTCCACATCTTTCCTCTGTTGGGGGACCCAGACCTGAACACAGTACTGCAGCTGAGGCCTCACTAAGGGAGGGGACCCTTTGCTGGCCACCCCTCTTCTGTTGGAACCCAGGATACAACTGGCCTTTGAGGCTGCAAGTGCACACTGCTGGCTCATGGCTAAGTTTTTCATCAACCAGGGCCCCCAGGTCCTTCTCAGCAGAGCTACTCTAAAGGAGTTGTTCTCCCAGTCTGTATACATACCTGGGATTGCCTCAACCCAAGTGCAAAATCTTGCACTTTGCTTTGTTGAACCTCATTAGGTTCACATGGGCCCACCTTTTGAGTTTATTAAGGTCCCTCTACATGGTTATTTCTAAATTACCAATGGAGTGATGAGGTGCTGGCACAGGCTGCCCGGAGAGGTTGTGGATGCGCTGTTGCTGGAGGTATTCAAGGCCAGGTTTGATGGGGCCCGGGCAGCCTGGTCTAGTATTAGATTAGAAGGTTGGCACTGCATGTGACAGGAAGGTTGGAGCTTCATGATCCTTGAGGTCCCTTCTGACCCAAGCCATTCTATGATTCTATGAAATTAAAATTTTCAAAAGTGAAGGATCAAAAAAATTGTAGTTGCTTTCTATCATCATATAAATCACATTCAAATTCTGGGGTTTCTCTTCGTAGCCTCCTAGACAGTCATTTTTTTTGGTAACATCATTCTCTAGTGCCTTTAGCCCACCTATATGCAAAGCAGTCAGATATTCAGATAGTAAGGGTTAATGATGTCTACACTTCAGTAAGGAAGTTACATTTTGACTACCTGAAAATAATTGTGGAAGTTTGAATGTAGAAAATGTTAAAAACACCAGTCTGTGAAACTTTTGCTTCTGTAATAAAACACAAACGCTCCCTTAAAGCTTAAGTGAGCTTGCTTCTTGTTGCCATTCGTAAGATACATGTAATTTATGCACTGTTGGTTCCAAAGGCAAGTTCTTTGATAATAGAGGAGTCTTCATTTTGGCATGCCTGTCAATTTAATCAAATCTTAATATCCTGTGACTAAATCTGTCACATGTATTTGTTCTACAGTTATATTAGCACTCCCATTCTTGATCATTAGCTCAGTCTCCTGGTGTAACCTGCTTTTGTTCCCCCGAGTCTCTGATAGCACCGGGCAATTTGATAACTGAGTTATTTATTTTTGCCTCTTTTGAGGTATAAATCTTCATTTTCATCGTAACAAAATTTCATTTAATAATTATGTAATATTCAGAGTCCATTGTTTTTGTTAGAAATAGATGCAAGGTAAATAGATACTCCTGACACTCAATTACTTTTGTTTTTCCCCACAGAAACTAGTAAAGTGGACTATGTTCTTTTTCAAGCTGCTACAGCTATAATGGAAGCAGTTGTAAGGGAATGGATTCTATTGGAAAAAACTAGCATCGAATCACTGCGCACATTCCTTCTAACCTATGTCTTACAAAGGCCGAAGTAAGTACAGAAAAGTGCTGCCAAATGTATAGGATTCAGCCTGCAGTCTTGGTTTTCATTTTGTTTGTAAGGGTATTGGCAGAAGACCATTACAGTACTAACTTTTCTTTCAGTTTCTTATTGCTTGGTTGAATTCCATAGAGTTGTTAGTTTGCCTTTATGCATTCACACAAAAGGTTTGAAAAAGTGCATCTAAAATATGATTGATCATTGATTTCCAAAGTTATTTGCAAATATTGTTAACAATGTTGTTTACAGCCTTCAAAAGTATGTTCGGGAGCAGATTCTGCTGGCAGTAGCGGTCATAGTGAAACGGGGATCATTAGACAAATCAATCGACTGCAAAAGCATCTTTCATGAAGTCAGCCAGCTGATCAGCAGTGGTAATCCCACTGTGGTAAGTGTTTCTATCCTTTCTTCAAAATTTAAGCAATCTGTAACAGCAGCATATGTTGTCCTTTAGCGACGATAAAAATCTACTTTTCTTATCTAAAAGTGAAGTTTAGTAATTAACTGTCTGAGCAGTCATTTACTAAGTCTGAAACTTCTGAATAAAAATGTCTTGGAACTAGTGGTAGTATGTGTAATTCTTTGCTAGGCAGTTATATTGCATATTAGAGGGAACAGCTTTCTCTGACTATATGCTTTACTTTGTTTTTTTTTTGTTGTTTGTTTGATTTGTTGTTGTTCCTGTGAGTTTCTTTCACAAAACAACATGATCTAAAATGGATTTTGCATTTGCTGGCAGGCTCACTGCTCTCCCTGTCCTTCTTCCATCTGTGCAGCACTGCACCCTCCTGTGCTCAGCTGTCGCAATGGGCTGTGAGTGAGAGGCAGGGGCCTCTGTGCTCCCTGGGTAGGTGGAGAGAAAGGGGTGCGAGGAGGGAAAACAGGGAGTGGAAATAGAAAACTTACTCTAGATTTAATATCATACTGCTGGGGTAAGTGTTACCTTCCAGAGGGAGCTCAAAGTGGAAACAAGGTGTCCAATATCTATCTCTGCATTTAGTGAAATGCCATTTGCTATGCCAGGAGATAAGTTTAGAATAGGTCATAATAGAGGCATGAAGCTAGAGATTAAAGAGAGGTGATTTTCTTCCTGCCAAATGCAAATCAAAGATTACGTAGATCCGTGCTGAAATTTTTAACTGAAGTTTTTCTCAGATGAGCCAAACCTTGAGGGACTGACTGGTGTGTTTGGAACAGCAGTTGTGCTGGATGTGAGCAACAAATGTTTAACACAAAAAATTTGATCAAAGTGTGCAAGAAGTAAAGCAGCTCATGTCATGGTCCTAAAAATAGCACGTCACCTCTGTGCACAAGTGGCATCTCCCCAGGACGTGGAAATTTTGGTTATTTTTCTAAACCTTACTTTTACAGCTACCTTAGCAAGAACATTTCAGCTTTTTGGGTTTGTGCAATTTGGATAGAAATGGGTATTTGTTTAGAAGAACAGTGCTTAGTTGTGCTTTTTTCCAGGGAATGTAATTTTATTTCTAAAATGGAGTTACAACTGACGTTTTCAGAAACTTTTTGCTTGCCAGTGTGTGTGCTTACGTAGATTTTACTGCCCTTCCAAAATACACAAGTAGGGAGCAGATAGCACCCTGCATATTCACAGAGAAGCCATCTCTGAGTTAACTCTTGCCCAGCCCTACTTGTGCACTTGTGTTCTGTGCTTGCACTGATTTGCAGGCAGGCTGCACTGAGCACAGCATGCAGCTCACCACGGCTACCAGCTGTAAATACATTGCCCGATGCATTGCAGTGGGTTGTGCTTGGGGAAAGGGGCAGCTCTTCGCTCTCCTCCAAGTGCCACCAGCTGCTTGAGACCACACTTCCCTTTATCCACCCCTTTCACAAACAACATTTGCTCCATAGTTATTGTGAAGTATTTGTGCTCAAGTTTTAGGAAGAGTATTAAAATTATCTTGGTTAGAAAGTGTCATCTCTTCCCATATGCTAATACAACTGTAGGCCTGTTACACCTTTGTGACTCCCAGTTCTGTGTCCATCCTCCTCACCCCTTTCTGTGTCCTTCCCAGACTTCTGCTCTTTCTTCTCTGATCTTTTGCCTGCTTTGTGTCTTCTCCACCCCCTGCCTGAGGCTCACAAATAATGTGAGCTCAGCAGTAAGTCACATAGTGGTTAAAAATGCTTAAAGCTTTCAAATATGGCTCTTAGCCATTGATAGTGGCTTTCTACAGGTGCTGAGATTGAGTCAGGCTTATGGGTAAGGGAGAAGAGTGGATGGGAAGGTATTGAAAAGGAGAATGTGTTTTTTCACCACAGTAGAGAAAATACTTTTTGGCCTGTTAAGAAAAGGAATGTAGTCAACCTGGGTCTGTATGTGAAGATGTAGTTATTTAATTTACAGAGTAGTCTGAAATTTAGAGTATTTTTTAGAAATGCAGAGTACTCTCTTTTGTGTTTCCTGCTTGTTTTCTCATCTGCTGGCTCTGAAGCTACCTGGCCCTTTATCTCATAAGTGTGAAGTACTTCATCTTTTCCATTCCCTGCAATGCACTGCCCAGCTCCTGACAGACACCTGTGCCAGTTCTATTTGTGTTAGGTACTTCTGTTCCATGACATTTTCATGACTTGTCAGTAGCGTGTTGACAGGGTCAGGTCCTGAATGTGGGTGTGAAGAGGAAAACTGCATATTTTACTGCCTTCTGCATTCGTGTTCTTTTGTAGGGTTTGATATGCTTGATATCTTCTCTAGCATTGGTTAAAAATATTTTTTGGGAATGGATGCATTTTGAGGATGGAACTTGATGGTATGTTGAATAATGTGCCAAACTGACATGAGAAAGACTAATGAATGAACTGCTGAGAATGAAAAATGAAAGGGAGAGAAGAGGAAGAAAATAAACTGGAGAAGAAAAAAGCTGGCTTTAGAACTGAGTAATCTTCTAATAGTGGAACACTGTGTACTTGTTCGGAAAATAACAGGGCATTAAGGAAAGGTAATGCTGCAAGCATGGGAAGAGCTTGTGGTTAGAGCTGGGGTTTGAACATGGAATATTGGTTCCTGCTGTTGCTACTCCACAGTGTAGACCTTTATGGATCCTATGAAAGTGACCTCTTGTTTGAGAAGGGAACACAGAGAACAGAGGATCTGGCTACCTGCTAATTTATGAATAACTTCAGGTAGTAAACCTCTGGAAGGATAAAGATTAGCATGGCGTTTTCTGGTTTTGTTTTCCCTTCCTCTTGAGCTTCAATAAAAGCTACCTTGATCAGAAGAGACAGGCTGTCAGCTTGTTCCAAATCGAATTCCAGCATCTCTTTTCAAAGTCTTCATCTCTGGGGGACAGAGCTTCTGGCAGTCGATGCAAAATCATGGGCCAGTCTTAAAATATGAATTGCATGTTTCCTGTCACTGATCTTGAAGAACTGTGTGAGCCAAGTTCTTTTCAACTGTAAATACCTTCAATTTCTTGGACTTTTCTGTTTCTGTTAGAATACAGTGCTTTCGCGTAGCTGAAGGGCTGAGTTTGTCTTCGTTCTTGCCAAAAGAACAGGAATTGTTCTGGAATGTGTCCAGAGAAAGGCAACAAAACTGGTGAGGGGTCTGGAGCACAAGTCTTAAGAGAAGTGGCTGAGGGAGCTGGGACTTTTTAGTCTGGAAAAGAGGAGGCTCAGGGCAGACCTCATTGCATTCTACAACTGCATGAAGGGAGGTTGTGATGAGGAGGGGTTTGGCCTCTTATCCCCAGCAACAAACTGAGGAAATGACCACAAGTTGTACCAGAGGAGGTTTAAATTAGACATAAGGAAGAACTTCTTCTCTCAGAGAATGGTCAGGCACTGGAATGGCTGCCCAGGGAGGTGGTGGAGTCGCCGTCCCTGGCAGTGTTCAAGAGGTGGCTGGATGAGGAGGTACAAAATATGGTTTAGTGCTTGTGGTAGCAATGGTGATAGGATTAGGGTTGGAATAGATGAACTTGTAGGTCCTTTCCAACCTTGTGATTCTGTGATTCTATGAATCCTGGCAGCTAGGTGGCTGATTCCCAGGAGGAAGAGGCGGTCTGCACACAAACGCAGTCAGATGGACTTTGTCTGAATTCTTCCAGAATATGGGTAGATGGACACAGAATGGGTCCAACTACTGCAGACCTGATAGAGAATAAGGAAAGCATTTGAAGCTGTGTTTTTGGGCTCACTGATATGTGCAGTAGGATATATCCTAATTATATAGCTCCATACCTGAAGCCTATTTTTTTCTTTACAATGTGCAAGGCTTGTCAAGACTTCTTTGAAGAACACCAGGGATCCTGTCAACTGCTTCTCTGTTAAAATCTACAAATTTGTTTGTCTGCTTCCTGATGTTCACACTCAAACTAGAGAAGATATTCAGATGCTTCATGTTACCTAGAACTGCATGGGAATGTGATGTGGATCTCATCTGAGCAATGGAGGGAAATACAAATAAATAGAATTCTTGATATTCATCTTCAATGAAATTTAAGGCTTTCACTTTAAGGCTGAACTCTCACTTTGCCCAGAGAAAATAAGGCTCCGGGGAGATATTACTATGGCCCTGTAATATTTGAAGGGGACCTATGGGAAAGATGGGGATGGATTCTTCAGGTGGTATAGCGATAGGACAAGGCATAAGTTGTAAAGGTAGGTAGGGTTGTAAGGGTAGACTTAAATATAAGGAAGAAACTCTTCACTGTGAGGGCAGTGAGGCACAGGCTGCCTAGAGAAGCTGTGGATGCCCCATCCCTGGAGGTATTCAAGACCAGGTTGGATGGGGGCTCTGTGCATCCTGATTGGTGAGTGCTAGCTCTTGCCCACTGCAGGGGGTTGGATGTGCATTAAGGTCTCCTCTTAACCCAGACCATTCTGTGGTTCTATGAAGTAAATGTTGGTAGTAATGGTTAAATAGATAACTAATTGTGTTTGCTTAGCATTTACGGGTCTTATTTCTGTTTCAAAGAGGAGTTTTACTCTTGGATCCTTGCCTAAATGTTGCTGTCTTGCATGGTGGGATAAGAGTTTGAGTGGCTCTCTTGGCTTCTATATTTTGACAATTTTGACCAAACCTTGTGTACTATTCCCCTTCACATACACAGATCACCTCTGCCTTCAGCTAAATCTCTTGTTGCAATAAAGGTACTATCTTTTCCTGTAAACCTTATTACCCTGGAAACATACTGAATTTTAAAAACCAGATGGTAAGTGAGAATGTTTAAGCTGCTTCCTTTTTTCTGAGAAGTGGCTGATGAAGGCCTAAGCTAGCGCATTTTAAAATGGTTTGGGGAATCTTAGACATCCTGAAACAACTCCAAATACAAGGTTAACACTGTAAAAGAACTTTAAAACAAGTTATTTTTTTTTAGTGCTCTGTATTAACCAACCAGGCTGCATTTTAAAGGTCTCCAATTT